GACAGAGGGCACCTTCCTGGGCCATAGGGAAGATGTATTCCTTATCACCAGATCTTGATGGGGTCTTATAACTATGCAAATCAGGACTTGCAAAGCTATACAACTAATATATAAGACCGAAATTAAAACTGCAATCAAAGAAATATGTTCACAATAAAAAAATTGAGACAAGGTCTCACTATTTAGCCCTACCTGGCCTGAAACTTACTATGTAGACCAGGTTAACCTCATACTCAAAGAGAGCCCACCTGTCTCTGCCTCTCAAGTGCTAAGATTAAAGGTGTATCTCCACTATGCCCAGCACATAAAAATTTTTAATAGCACAAGCAAATGACTGTGTTACAATATTGAGGAAAAACTTACCAAAACCCCCCCAGAAGTTAGAGTGGTATATGTGTGAGAACAGTTTAAAAGGGTGCTTGGGGAAGGATTAGGATTGAAATGTGTTAAAGAGGGCTAGTTTTTTAATTGTGAGAATATGGCTATTTTTCTTATTTTTGTTTTGCTCCACTTCATATAAAAAGCATATGTTGATTTTATAATTAGACTTTTGTCTGTATTTGGTGTATGCATGTGTACGTGGGCTTGTGCACCTGTGTGTGGACATGTGGAGGCCAGAGCTCAACGTCAGGTGTCTTCCTCAATCACCCTTCACCTTAATTTTTGAGACAGGATCTTTCACTGAATCAGAAGTTCACTAATTGATTAGACTGGCTGTCTCGGGATTCCCTGGGACCCTCCTGTCTCTGTCCCTCAGGACTGGGAGTAAAGGCAGTATTGACAAATTTGTGGGGTTTTTGTTTGTTTGTTTTTTGTTTTGTTTTTAAATCTGAATACTAGGATCCAAACTCAAGTTCTCATACTTTCATAGCAAGCACTTTATTCACTGAGCTGTCTCCCTACCCTAGATAATTTCTTTAAAGATTCATTTGCTGTTTCATAGACCATCTTACACTGACAAGGATTTGAGATGAAGTTGCTGTGTTCTTGAGTTCGTGTAGATAAACCCTTGACTCAAAGGGAAAGGTCAGCATCTCCCTATTTGTTGAGAATACTCTGGTTCAGGGATGTTGTGGGCAATGAGAGCAAAACAAGGAGAGGTAAACTGATAAAATGACTAAAGATGGAGAACTTGCTTAAAGACTCTGGGTCCCAGAAGAAGAGCTGGTTTGAGGTGCTCCATATGGGTGGTGAGTCTAGAGGGACAAACTAATCATAAGATCATTTTGTATGGGAATCTAAGTACAACATATATGAGAACAAAGCAATGCAAACTGGGAAGTGAAGCAGAGACCAAAATCCAAGTTGCCGCACAGTGTACTATTGTTGTAATACCCAGAACAAAGTTTACTTGTGAATAAAGACTTCTTCATGGGTCCATAGGTCCTCATTTTTTTTTGTGCATCCTTGAGAAGCTGACTGGAACACATCGCTGGACCAGGCACTCAAGAGAGGGTAATACCTTGCTCAGTTGGGCTTCTTGTTGCACACTGTGACCTGTTCCAAGGTATACTTTTTAAAATGCAGTCTCTGGTAGCATTTATTCTTTCACACATCTTCTAGCACATCGCTAACAGAAGAGACAACGGAATTTCAGAGGTGAAGTAGTTTGCCAAGACCACAATGGAGGCCCTGTCTGAGTAACTTTTGAGCCTGCATAGCTTCTCCACACTGCCCTCTGGGGGTGAGCTATAGCTCTCATATCTTCCACTACCCTATGAAACTATCTCAGCACAGGTTAAGCCCTAGATCTACGTGGTAACAATAAGAGTCAACAGTATTCACAAACAGAATTATAAAATTTGTCTAGAAGCACTGGAGCGGTCTACCTCATAGAATGATAAAGAAATGTAGGTTTTCAATTGTGTTTATATTGGAAAAAACACTGAGTGAGTAACTAACAGGTTGCTATTTATTTTGTGTAGTTTGTCTATATATTTGCTTTGAGTGCCTTTTATTGCTACCAAACTCAGGTCTGGACACTTAACCACATAGAAAATTAGTCCCAAGGAGACAATAATTGGAAAAAAATGAAGCAGGCTTTATTGAGGAGGCCAGTCACCTGGAAGGAAGAAAACTGGTGTGTCAAGTCCCACCTTCCAAGTGTTTGGGGGAAATGGAAATATTTGTGTGAGGGCAAGATTAAAGGTTTTGTGTAGAATCAGCATTACCAGGAACTTGAGTTAGATAATCCTGTGCTAGCCAGTGTTGTTAATCTCCTGGTGATGGTCTATTCTCACCTTGAAAACAAAAAGCTCTGGAGTGCAGAGAGGAAGACCATATCTTGAGAATGAGGAATAGGAATAAAGCAAAATGGGGTTACTGAAGGCAACAGCCTGTTATAACAAACCATGAAGTGATTACTGTTATTCAGCCTAACACACACATGAGGCAGTTGCTGGGAGTCAAGTGTGGTAGTCTCCTACAGAAGGCTTGCTTGGGTCTTTGTGCTAGGCTGCCTATTGTAGATTTAGGGACAAGTAATTTTGCTGTTTGAAGTTTCCTTGCCTTCCTACGGGTCATAAGTCAAAGCTGCTGCTTCTACAGCTGAAGCTGTGGAAGCCCAGAGGGGCTCTTGTGTCTCATTGGCAGCTCTTTGCTGTGTTCTCAACTCTGCTGTCATTCTTTGATTTTTTTTTTTTTTTTAAATTCACCCACCACCCAGGAGACCTAATATGGCCATATATAGCATTATCGTATTATCCTGAATTTTATCATGCACTTCTGTTCACTGTTGCATGAAACATCCCCCACAGCTCCGGTTAAATTTTGTTCTTGGAGTGAGGCACTCTGTTACTTTCAAATCTGGCACAGTGTAGGTACTCACAAATGTCTACTTAAAATACGTTATTATGTGTCTCACCAGTTACCAGATATAGGGGAGAACTATATGTTTAGTTCCCAGGAGAACGTATGGTAAACCCTTTAGTAACCCTTTTGCTACACTTTGGCCAGTTGTTTTAGTTTACACAGAAGAGTCACACTAAGCAGCAAATGTAGAGGAGGAGCAGAAGGAACCTCCTATCTTTTTAAAATAGGCTGGATTTTACTTTAACCAAGAGCAACTATGAGAACAAATGTTCTTGTCCTTTTGGCTTTACCAGTGAGAAGCTGAGATAATGTGTGCATTATTTGTTTCTTAAACAGTGACTGCCTTGATTCAAATGTGGTTTTTGAGTAATGAATACAAGTGCTCTAGCTTTAACACCTTTTATGTCTTTCTAATTTCTAATAGATTGTGGAGTTAGTCGATCAGAGAACATAAAATGATGTGAAGAGGGAAGCTCCTTAATAAAATTTCAGACCAGAGCTGCCTTCTATTTTCTGCTTTAAATGCAACTTTAAAGAAAAAAGAAGAACTGATCCAACACCCCCCACACAGAGAAACACTACGTAATACCCTTTCTCATAAAACTCCACCCCCTTTGAAAGAAATTGCGTTTCTTACTTTATACTGTCTATATTTTTGATTCGTACAACACTCATAGCCAGAGGAGCTGCAACATCCGTTCCCCCTACAAGAAACTCTGGTAAGTCACCTCTCAGCCCTTGGCAGGTTAGTTAGCTTAGCTTCTGTGATGAGTAAAAACTTCAACAGGAAATCCTGAGAGGACATCTGTCAGCACCAGGTGCTCACTGAATTATCTGAAATATAATCTTTAAGATACAAAAAGGGTAAGAATTTAGGATATGTTTCAGCATGTGATGTCATCCAATATATAAAAACATGATTGTGATTGAAATATTTAAAGGAAGCAAGAATTTGTTTTTTTAAAAAACCAAGCAGAGTTTTTACCTCTTAAAATAGCTTCTACAGCAGTAATATTGGCTGAAAACTAGTTTGATAATTGTTATCTTCAGCTGAGAAGAGGTGGAACCTCTCTGTGGGCCACCTGGAACATGAGTGCCAGAAGTTCTAAGTCTCTTGTGCTCTCTTTCTCCCCCTGTCCCACCTATCTCCCAAAAAAGAGGGAAACCTAAAAATTGTGTAAGTTCATATCAAATACAAATATCAGTTTCTAGAGCACAGTTATAGAGGAGTCTTGTTCCGGGTCAGCACTTGAAGGTGAGATTTTCAGGGTATTTCTCTTAATTGTGTAAGTGGGGTATGAAGAGCTTTAGAGGCATAAGGATGAAGTAGAGAAAATTCTCAAGCAAAGCAGTAGAATTTAGATAGGACAAGTCAGTGGGATGTATACGCCCAACATAGAACTATTTAGCCTGTAAAATATTCACTCATGGTGATGCATGAAACATTTTTCTACGTGACCATTTCTTCTGCTTATATGAGAACTCCTGGTAGTGGCAACTTAGGAAGCAGAAATAACTTCAGAGAAATGATGAAGATGGCCCATTTTAATAACTGGTGGTAGATTCTATGACACTGTTGGAATACTTGGACATCAGCCAATTTCATCCTGACTACAGAGAGGCAATATGTTACTAAAAAATTATATTAGTTACCAAGAAGTGACAGACAACACATGTCAGTTAAGGGTTCATGATGCCTAAACTCAAAATCAGTTGTTTCTTGGTGGTGTGGTTTTATGTTAACTTATTCATTCTCTCCATACTTGGGTCCTTTTTATGTAGAAATATGTGAACAGTATTATCTGCCTCAAACAGTTACCTCAAGCATTTAATGAATGAGTAGGTAAGACAGTTAAAATAGTGATTAAAACTCAGTGTTCATTCTTACTAGCACTGTGTGGCACCTGTCATTTGTGGGTAAAGTGCCTAGAAAGGGCATCTTTGGTAGAGATCTTAAGCTGTGAGTTATACAGATTAATTCAACCCACATTGATATAGAGAACAAGATTTTATTTAATGAAATTCATCTTTCATGAATTTCAGCTGCTATAATGAGGGGGAAATTAAATGTAGAAATCTATGCCTCAAAGACATACTAAGTTGTAAAACCATTTGTAATTGTGGTAGGCCAGTAACAGCTTTTAACTTTATTAAACATTGTTTTTTCTTTATTTATAGATTCTTACAGGATGGATTTGCAAGTGTCAAGTCCATCCTATCTCTATGACATGGATTATAGTATGTCAGTACCCTGCCAAAAAACCAATGTAAAACAGATTGCAGGCCAGCTCCTGCCCCCACTCTACTCTCTGGTATTCATCTTTGGTTTTGTGGGTAACATGTTGGTCTTCCTCATCCTGATAAGCTGCAAAAAGCTGAAGAGCATGACTGACATTTACCTGTTCAACCTGGCCATCTCTGACCTGCTTTTCCTGTTCACTCTCCCACTCTGGGCCCACTATGCTGCAAATGAGTGGGTCTTTGGAGGTATAATGTGTAAATTATTCACAGGGATCTATCACATTGGTTACTTTGGTGGAATCTTCTTCATTATCCTCCTGACAGTTGATAGGTACTTGGCTATTGTCCATGCTGTGTTTGCTCTAAAAGCCAGGACAGTCACCTTTGGGGTGATGACAAGTGGAGTTACTTGGGTGGCGGCTGTGTTGGCGTCTGTCCCAGAAATAATCTTTACCAGATCTCAAAAAGAAGGTTTGCATCATTCATGTAGTCCTCATTTTCCACACACCCAGTATCGCTTCTGGAAGAGCTTCCAAACGTTAAAGATGGTCATCTTGAGCCTGGTCCTGCCACTGCTTGTCATGGTCATCTGCTACTCAGGAATCCTCCACACACAGGCTCTGGGTAGGAATGAGAAGAAGAGGCACAGGGCTGTGAGGCTCATCTTTGCCATCATGATTGTGTACTTTCTCTTCTGGACTCCCTACAACATTGTCCTTCTCCTGATCACCTTCCAGGAATTCTTTGGACTGAATAATTGCACTAGTTCTAATAGACTAGACCAGGCTATGCAGGTGACAGAAACTCTTGGAATGACACACTGCTGCATCAACCCTGTCATCTATGCCTTTGTTGGGGAGAAGTTCCGGAATTATCTCTCAGTGTTCTTCCAAAAACACATTGTCAAACGCTTTTGTAAACACTGTCCAATCTTCCAGCAAAATAATCTTGATCGTATGAACTCAGTCTGTACCCGGTCCACAGGGGAGCAGGATATTTCTACTGGTTTATGACCTGTATTGAGTTTTGTATATTAGTTTTCTATGTAGCTTGGGAGTAGAAATGCTTTTTTTAAAAAAGAAGTTATTATCATAGGGGGTCTAAGATACATGCATGTTTTGGATATTTATTTTAGATAGATTGGGTCTTTTAAACCCGGTTAGTTTTAGAAAGCTAAATGAGAATGTATTGATGAGATAGTGATCCCTGGTCTCATTCTCACTTACCTCTAGTTATTGGCAAACTCTTCTTTAGCCACAAAAATTCATTATAAAAAATCCCAAGAATTGGGAGTTTTTCGAGCTTAACTATTTGAATAGAAATAAAACATCAATCAAGAAGAACACCTTGTACAGTTTTTTTTTTCCCTATACAAGGAAAATTCAGGCTATAAATGTACTTAAAATAGGTCTTTGTCTTGCCCTGAGAAGAAAAGATGAGAGTATGATTAGTTAGGAAATAGATAACTAAGCTACATAAATTAGTTCTATAGACATGTATGATCCAGTGAATACTCTGTAGCCTGGGAGGACTGGGAACACATCCCTTTTTAAGAAGGGATTTGAATTGGATCATATGACAGTAAACCAGAGGGAAGCCATTCTTTGAGTGGCACAATTGCACAAGCAAAACAAAGGTAGACCAGTGGCTAGTTGGAAAGGCCATGGAGAGAAAAGTCAATGCTGGATCATAACACAACTTGTCAGCCTTGCTCCTTTGAAGTTATGAGCAGGGTAAGAGCACCTAGACAGATTTGTATAAAGTTTATTTCATGGCTTTGGTGAACAATTGGGGAAAGTAGATCAGGGTGAGATCAAGTCGCCTAGACTGGACAGTAGGGAAGCACCATTTCTGCATAGAGAATGCAGAGTCAGCAGAACTTGAGGTGAATTGGAGGTAGAGGGGAACAAGAACCTCTAGGCTCAAGCAGGTTGGAATAACCATTGAAGAAACAACAAATACAAAAGAAGAGAACAGGAAAGAGTCTGACCTAGGAGGATAGTCTCATTTTACAGCCTGTTGCCTCAGGCTGGTATTTTGTTCCTGCCCTCAGACCCAAATCTTGCCATACCAGTTTTGCATCTTAAGGATTAACCTGGGGCTGTGAAACATCTGGCTTATGGATCATGAACCTGAAGTCTAAGAACAATAGGGACACCTTGTGGATTCAGCTGAGGGTTGCTTATATAGTTTGAACCCAGAGCTTTACAACCTTGAGCAGAGGTCCTAAGATATGAGGGAAGAGAATCAATTTTCTCTATTTACCCAGCAATCAGCAAATCTGAGAGATAAACCATCCTTTTAGAAAGAAGTTGCTGTGAGCTTCAGAAATCATGAAAGTGTAATTACTGCTCTCTGTGTTCCAGGCTAAGTGTGAAGTCTTCAGATACTCTTTACAGATGGCTTCTCCACAGAAACTGTTAAATTTACCCATTGCAGAGAGGTTTGGGATTTTTTGTTTTTTTTTTTTTTATTTTGATTTCGAAGTTGCTATTTATGATATTGTTTTGAATTTTGGAGAGGTTAAGAACTTCATAGTGAAGACTAAGGGAAGAAACGAAAGGGTGAGAATCACCCACAGGATTAAAGTGTCTGGCTAACAAAAGGTGTTACTTGTTTTTCTCAAGCTCTGAATGTGAAACCAGAGCCTTGTGGCTGTCAGCAGGAAGTGAGCCTTGCTTTTTTCTTTCCTGGGATCCACATTTTCTCCCCCAATATGTAGCTGAGACTGGACTCAAACTCATGATCCTCCTTCCTCCATCTCAAGCACTGGGATTAAAGGTGTATATGAACACGCTCAGCTCTGTGTTTTTATATTCCTAAGCATATAGAAAGTTGTAAATTCTTTGAGGATAATACGAGCCTTATAAAAAATGCTTTGCCAAAAAGTAAGTGCATTTTTGTGTTTTCAATCAAGTGAACATTTAATGAGTAGTGCACAAAATTATGAGAGCATTTTATAAGTAGTTATTTTGGAGAACATTCCCAAATGGTACTTATTTAAATATATTCCTTATCTTAATTGGATGGTGATTGTATTTCCTTTAAAATATTTTTAACAGTCAACTTTCTTCCTGAGACAAATTGTTATAATTTGTTGTTAAAGGTGTTACTTCTAAACGTGTAGTTCCTGATCAGAGTTGCCTTGAAAAATTGTAAATTTTAAATTGTGCCTACCCTCAACCAAAAGAGTTTTAATGTATTTACAAACTGATGTCAGAGGTAAAGAATCTGGATGAAAACAAACACATGCAACTTTGTGGTCTGGGATCTGAACATGAGGCACATGTTAGGGAGGATGAGCATTGCTTTTCTTTTATTTAAAATTCTTTACCAAAGTGTGTTAGTAATTTCAGAAATGGCAGCTATGTGACACTGGGATTTTTGTCCACATATTTCGTGTTCAAAGAGAGGACAGATGCTCCAGAGAGAGTTTGGGACATGCTGGTTTTCAGTCTGCTACAGCCTCAGCTACCAAAGCAGAGTGTGTGAAGATGTCATAGTTGGTCATGCTCCTAAATGAAGGTACACAAAATGAGTAGTAAGCACGGCAGGACTCTGGCTAGTACAGCAACTTCTTACCAGATTCAAAGGGCAGCTTTCCATCTCTTAGATCCAAAGGTGGGATGCATCAAAGCGGAGTGGGACCCAGCTGGGGTTAGAGGAAAGAAGAGGGGGCTATCTGCTGTGATACAGCCAGCTGTTGTGGGGATATGGGAAAGTGTGCTGGTAACTCTTCTTGTTGCTATGACAAAATAGCTGACAAAGGCCACTTAAGAAGGAAGGGTTTACTTTTGTTGATAGTTTGAAGGAATGCAGCCTATCGTGGTGTGTGAGGTTGTTGGTCCCATTACATCTGCATCCAGGAAGCCGAGAACAGAATGCTGGTTTCAGTTCCCTTTCCCCTGTTCATTCAGTCCAAGTCTCCAACCTACGGAACAGCGTTGTCCACGTTCAGGGTGGGTGTTCCACTCTCCCTTAATCCTTTCTAGAAACACTTTCATAGATACAACCAGAAGTGTGTTTACTAGGTAATTTTAGCCAAGCTATCAATACCAACTGTGACAAAAAGTGTCAGTTTTTTATGGCTGATGTCTACAGTCCTTCTTGCCTTTCTGTACGTGTTATGATAAAGCTAGAAGGGGGTCCTTGTGTGGGGGACCATGGGTGGGGGAACCATGGCAGATTCCATGGCAGCTGAGGGTGACTGAGGCGGGGGACAAAGACGCCAGGCAGACAGAGTTTGAGGAGTTTTATTAGAAAGGGGAAGAGGAAGGAAGGAACGAGAAAAGAGGTGAAGAGACAGACAGACAAGAGAGGACAGAAGAGAAGAGGGAGACAGGAAAAGTCCTGTCTGCCCTAGAGGAACTATGGGAAGACAGCTGGAAAACAGCAAAAAGGGGTGGGGGGAGGCAGAAAAAGAGCAAAACTGGGTGGAGGTCTTTCTTTTAAAGAGGTCCTTTGCACTTGCTTGCAGACTACACAATCACGGAATGCTGGGCTGACCAGAGTACTGCCTGAGTGCATTTTGCCAGGTGACGGGGCAGGCCAGCACAATGCCTGAATCCTTACATTATGTTAGATGAATCCATGAAGAAAAGCTGCTTGAGGTGTCATATGACTATCTCTTTCTTTCACAATTTTATAAAAAATTTAATGTTTCATTTGGCTCCATTTTGTTACTACTTTGTTGGATTATACGTTCTGTGCTGTTATAATTCTGTCATGCTTCAGAAACTTATTTTTGCTTCAAAAAATAGTTTTTTTCATTTGTTTGTTTTGTGAGACAGGGGTGTTCTGTGTAGCCCTGTCCTGAAACTCACTCACTGCCTCTGCCTCTGTGTGCTGGGATTAAAGGTGTGTGCTACCACCTCCAACAATAGTTTTTAAAGCATAGGTGGAGGATAAGAATCTTTTCCCTGCTTGAGTCAATGGGAAGCCTATCAAAACCTCAAATTACCTGGGCTATACTGCTTCCATACTGCCCACCAATGGCCAACTAACAAATTAACAAGGTTGCTTGGCAACCAGCATTGACCGCAGCATACAAACAAGGAGCGGTTTCCCACAGTTGTTCACTGTTTGTGTCCTTCATTCCAGTGCAGACAGAGGCATATCCAGAGCAACTCAGGGTAGATGACTCACAATTCTTTCTCACCCAAGTTGACACTTTGAATAAAATAAATGTTTCAGGGGGATCTACAGAGTGCTGGAATCCAGACCTAGAATAAGGTCAGGAAATTATTTCTAACTAGGCTTTTTTTACATATGTGAAGTGCCCCAAACTCCTCCTGCAATTCTCTCTAACCTGCATATCCCAAGTGTTTGAAGTGGTCAAATATAGTTGAGACAGAGGTGGTTTTCACTGATTTTTATCTTCTCTTTTCTCCATTACTGTTATCACTCCACTTGAAAGCAACATTCTTACAAAACTATATATCCTGAAAATGGAAAAGCTATTGAGGTTCACTCAGTCCAGGTGCCTCTCTTTGTAGGTGAAGAGCAGAGTCTAGTCCAAACCCCAGAGAGGGCTTCATCAGCATGCTATGATAATGTTTCCCAGTCTCAGTGGGCAGTCAGTGATAAGTCTTTGAGTTGGATAGGTGGGAGGGGTTCTGCTACCCTTACAATCATGCCTGAATAAATTCAGGAGCTGGACCTACAATTCATGGAGGCCATATTCTGGCCATGGCTTAGCTTTAGCTGTACTTTGAATTGACATAGGGGAGTTTTACAGTGACCCTGAGTCCCACTCTAATTAATTTTACTCCAATAGATTCTGCTTCAACCTGCTTGAACCTCAGATTCAAGGCTGTTAACAATCACTTTTCCTCATGACTTTAGTCCTTTATTATGCATCTTTGCAATACAAAATAATAAAAAGAGCTTCAGGTGTGCCTGAGGCATCTTGTGAGCAAAGTCATGGGATGGCAGTGATGCCCCTTCAGTAAAACAATTCTGCAAATCTCAGAAAACTATCACTATTTTCCACAAGGATTTTACAAGGTCAAAG